ATTAGGGAATGCAAATGAACTCACTCCACACTTTACTAGAATGGCTAAAACTAAAACAAAAACAAACAGCTGATACTACCAAATGTTGGATGGACAAGGAACGCCTGGAGCTCATGTTTGTGGAATGTAAAATGGTCCAGCCACCTTGGGCAAGTCTGGCAGCTCATTATAAACCTAAATAGACAACCACCAAGTAACTCAGCAAATCCCACTCCTACATATGAGGGTAAGTCAAAATGTATTGCTAGTGGGGTTCTAGTTCATACACACATGGGTTTATTCCAAACAAAACATCATTAAACATGTCTCTGTGATAAGTGGATGGCTACAGACAAGTTCTCTCAGGAATACACTTGTCTTCGTCATGGTTAGGGTGCCTTCAAAGACCAGGTCCAATCAAAATAGTGGCTTCCGAGGGAATCTGCTGGACCAAAGTCAAGGCAGAGAGGTGAGCTCAGAATGTGATGGTAACTCTTTTTTGGAATTCCAAAGGAATCTTGATAGGTTTTTTTAAAGGACGCAGGACAACTACAGGCACTTATTCAGAAGTTTTAAAGAAAACTGAAAAGTGCAACCCCAGGAGGGCTGCAGCTTTCCCGTCACCAGAGGGCGCCTCTTCATTCTTGTGGGGGGGGGGCGCTGCCTCCCCACAACTTGGTGGGGAACCCTTGCCCCGCCCACCATACAGCCCTGAATGCCCCCCACTTCAGAATTCTTTTTGATCCCCAAACTTAAAGAACATTGATAAGGAACACATCCTTCTAGAATGCCAAAACTGCCATCTTGAGGTGGTGTAAATCTGAATGCAGAATTCTTCGGGGAGAGGTTAGAGAGATGGAAACACCGCCTTTAGAGGTGGATAGACCTAGATGGAGGCTATGTTGAGAAACAGTAGCCTCAGATTGTGATATTTGGGTTTAATAAAGGTTGCTATGATTTTGTAACAATACTTTTTGACGTGCCCTAGTACTTACCCAAGTGAAACGAATGCTCATTCACACAAAAACTTGTTCATGAAGACTTATAGCAGTTTACTTAACTGCAAAAAACAAAACCATTCAAACGTACCTCACATAGAGAGTAAACTGGTATGTCTAGGCAATGGGATATTACTTTGCACTGAACTGATACCAAGTTGTTGGAAAAGTTCCACTATCTTTTAATTCTGTTTTTCCACAAACTTTCTGAACTATTCTATACCCTCAGCAACATAGAGTAATCTCAAGTGCATTATGTGAAGTAAAATCAGCCAGACTCAATTTGGAAAAGGGAAAACCCTAAGTACAGAGAACCGACCAGTGGGTGCAGGGGCAAAGGGTGAGCAGAGGTTCTGACGAGGGCTAGCATGAAGGGAACATTTTAGGGTGGTGGAAATGCTCTGTGTCTTGATTGTGATAATACAGGATTTCTATGTGTTTATGAAACCTCACAGACTGTGTACGCCAAAAAAAGCGAAGCTTACTATATGTAAATGTAAGAGTATTTTTAAAAGAAATAGCTGCAGGGCCAAAAAAAGATAAGTGTAAGCTAAATGTGGGCTCCTGGGGAGGTCAGTGTGTGAATTAGTTAGGACCAGCGTCTACACGTGGTGGGTTACTCACACCTGCACCAATGAGGTGGCAGGTGAACCAAGTCAGCAGGGCTCCTTCACTGGTAAGTTCTTGCTAATCCACAAGTAGTCTTCATTAAAGCAAAGGCTCAACTTTTTACATGCTTTTTAATGATACACATTTATTTCGCTTTCTATATGTATTTAAAATAATAGTAAGAGTTACTATGTTCAGAGTGGAGGCCTGGTGTGGTGCTGTGAGCTAAGCACTGGACTGGTAATCATAATAAGGTCAGCGGTTCAAACCCACCAGCCGCTCCTTGGAAACCCTATAAGGATTGCGATGAGTCAGAACCAACTTGACAGCACTTAATTAACATCTTCCTCACATCAGCCTTGCAAAGCTAATGAATTTTTCATGACCAGTTTCCCTGAACGTTCCTTAAGACAGAGTTTCGCTGTGCTCTGTTATTCAGACTCTTGCTTTCACTACCGTCTCTAATGTATCTTTTGTGATGTCCTTGCAGTCTCTCCTGACATCGGAGGAGCTTTCGCTTGCCTATAGCCAGTCTGCATGGGGTGCTGAGGAGATAGGCCCTGTTCTCCGCTTGTGCCTAATGGACCAGAATTTCCCAGCATTTGTGGAAGAGGTGGAAAAGGAACTAAAAAAGCTGACAGGATTGAGAAATTAACACTTGATGTACATACATAACTCAGTTGTTTGAAAGTATTAAAAAAGCATCTGCCTTCCTAAAATTGGAGAAGGTACCAGAATAAAGAGTATCATTCCAAACACCTTTTATCAATGTTTTATTTTTAAAAACCAGTAAATTCACTTTTTTATACATCATTGCACTTCAACAGTTACACAGAACACAAGTACATGCATCTAAAGTTACATATGGCATGAGAACCCTGTTAGGTTATAAAATCTACAATCAACCATCAAATCAAAGTGGAAAAAAAATACAGTGTCAAACCAAAAAGTAGAACTAGTTGCATAGAATACCACCATGCTGTAACGTTTCAAGGTCATTGAAAACAAAAGGTAAATTATAAAAGTTTGCTTTAATTGAATGTACAAGAATAAGGTTCAACACATCAGTGCAAAAGGATTTAAGAATTTACATGATTTAACCGAAGGAAAAAAAAAATCACTTAAAAAGCAATCATACATATATACTGCAATTCATTATATCCATTCAGTGGCCTGTACCAGCGTCTGATTTAAAGTCGTAGGTTAAGCCCTTAAAATTATACATATCAGTTTATATTATACTCATCTTTATGTACTAGAACTGCACAATTTCCTCATCTGACAACATACAATAAGGAGTGAATGAATATCAGCAGCTTAAAAATGAAACAAGCATTTAACTTTATTTTTTGGATTTCTCCCACCCCAAAAAATATAAATATATATATCTATATATTTATATACTGTATATATCTGTAGGTTTTGCTGTACTTTACAAAAGTCTCACTAGATGGCAGCAGTGCATTTTAGAGCATTGCCAATTTCACAGCTGCATTAGGTAAAAAATGGCGCATGCATGATCTGATCCCCAGAGGACCTATCACTTCCATTTAAATATTATAACCAAAAAAAAAAAAAAAAAAAAGGAAAGGAAAAAAGGGAAAGGAAAAAAAAAAAAAAAAGCAACATTCACAGCACATCAAGCCCAAAATAGTTTACACCTTCTACACTGAAGCATTGTTTAAAATGTCTGGCTAGGTCATTCTTACGGAGCGGAGCGGCTAAGTAAGGCATGCTGAGACAGTCTTGTGGTGGTGCGCACGGGGGAAAGGAGGTTGAAAAATGTTGTGAGAGCCAAAGAGGTCCAAGCGGAAAATTTAGCAGGTCATGTTGCCACCAGTTTCAGGAACCTAACGATCTGTAAAGAAAGAAGAATTTGGAAATTAAAAGGGAAGATGCTGTCACTCAGGACTCCCATCAGGTGACATGTAAAACACAGCTTTGCTTCAAACAGCATGCTCAGGGATGTGGTGTGAAATTCTGATCTCCATGTGCCTCACAAGACAGCATTCAGACCTCTGCTGCCTGTACACCACACCTGTCTTGTCTGTCTGCCCTCCAACGCTAATTGGCCTCTGGGAATAATCCACCTAAGAAGGTGACAATTGTTCACTCTTTTTAAAGACAGATGTGAATACTGGTACAATGTTATTTCTTTTGAAACATCCTCCATATTATGAAATGGCATTTATGTAAACATGTGAGACAGTGGGGCAGACGGGATTTGTTGAAGCAAGGTCAGCGGCTCAGAAATGAACTAAAAGGTCTTACAACTTAAACTGGAGGATCTGGTAACAAGGTCAACAGAGGCACATTCATGTGAAGGTAATTTTTAAAACTTCTACAGAAGGCTATACTTACATGAGAAGCAGTACTTAGTTTGTGTTTCTCTGACGCAAGTTTTTATCTTTATGATTGTTGGTGGAGTTGGTTTTCCTTTGGAGGAAAAATTGCATTGTAAGAGTTAACATCAAAGCACCTACTGAAAGTATAACACATGGAAATACAAGGAGTCTTTCACTTACTGCCATCCCTGGTGATGTAGTATGAAATTAGACTGCACAGGATCAGTTCATGAAATACCCACAAACCTTCACTTCATAGATCCTTTTGACTCCCAAGAGACGACATACAGCTAACCTCCCCTTTACTGACTATAATCCACTTACTAGAAAGGTGAGAAGAGGTTCAGTTTTTTTCTCTGATGACCACCACCGCCCCTTTTTGCCTGACAATAGATAGGCGGTGCTGTGCTCTGTCGTACACGGTAACTGTTTGCCTGCCACTCACTTCTTAGCCCCCAGTCTAGGCACTTCCACCCATCTTGGGGACATGTACACTTGCAGCTCCACCCCTCTTGGATTCTAGCAGTTGCTAATGGGGCTAGACAATTTGCCCCAATTTTAAGGTCCAGCTTAAAACTGACTTTTAAGGAAATCTGAAGTCTCAGATATTTAGTCACTTCCCCCACATTATTAATTTAAGCACAAAAGATGTAGACAATTTGAAACACTTTTTTTTCTTTCTTGGCATAGTGTTTTGCTTTGCATTGCTACTCAGAACTGTACTGCCTGTCCTGGGACTCAAATGATCACCAATTAGGGTCAACGTCAGCCTGAAGTCTACACTGCAACACTCACTCATCACTCCACTCACTAACCGCCCTACAAACTTAGCAACTCCACTCAGCTAAACAGCAGAACAACATAATTCAATCAGAAAGGGTTGGATCAGTGTCCAGTACAGTACTTACATTGGCCCAGCTGGTTCATCGTCTACACAGGTGTTCAATTTTTAAAGAATCCATTGAAAGACAGAAGAAAAGAGAAGTTGTTAGACTCTTGTGTATGGATGAACAGAACAGCAAATCGCAAGTGGCAAACATGGCTTAGTCATAGCATTTACTCAAGGCCATTCCATCTGGAGGTGCAAAACACTCATGGAGTTATTTCTAGACTCAAGTTTTTAATGGCAGGTATGTTGTTTCAATGGTTTTAGTTAACACTTTGAATGCTTGTCATGAAAAACTGCAACTGTAGCGGACAGATAGGCTGCAATGTCATTATACTCATCTTGTCCCCAAGTTCCAGTGGTTCACTCAGAAATAGATGAGAAGACAAACCAACATTTCAGTTGTAAAATCCTGCTGTTTGTTTTCTTGTGAATGCATGCAGACTTTGGGCTCAATCCTACAACGTGGACAGTCTTTAGTCTGGAGAACGAGTGAGGAAGAGGAAGCCGCAATAGTTGAACCTAACATGGGAGCAGCCATGCTGGGCTGTGCTAGCAACCGGCGTGTGGCAACCAGGGATGTTCTGTGACACACCAGGGAGTGTATGATAGTGGTGACCGCCCTCACAGAGAAAGACAGGCTCACTTTTGTGCCCTGGCCAAAACCAGAACCCAAACCCAGATGAGCCACGGGATAGGTTTTTTTGGTTGGTTTTTTAAATAAAAAAAGCTTATCGTGTCTGCGCGTAGAAGCCATCTTAAATTATTTTCAGATTCTGATTTGTGACTTTTTCTTTTCCCATTTCTCCTAAGGGCAGCTTGGTCCCCTTCCAGCAGGGATATATATACACGGAGAGAATGGTGGGGTGGGGTAGGGTGTGGGGGAAGACCCCCAAAGGGGAGGGCACAAGTTAAGTGCTCTTCGTTTCTTTTGAATGGATAAAGCCAGGTGGACTATGATCCAAAATGGTCTGTTTTCATGGAGGGCGTACAGAAAACCTCTCAGCAGGATTCCACAAGGGGGCTTGGTGCACATGAAGCGGTTATGGAGGTCACAGTCTCGGGGTAGGCATCTGCAGGAGCACACGTCAGGAGTAATGTCTGTCACAGGGAGACATTGCTCCACCTGTTCCCTCGAGGCAACGCAGAGGCAAAGCCACCGCCAGCACACACAGTGACTGGAGCAAAAAAAAAATATTTCAAAAACAGAAAAAGAACTCATCACAAACCAATGACTTATCAGCCAGAACGAGAGGCCAGCGACAACACTGGTGTCCACAGGAGTCCAGTACTAACAACAATACACTATTGGAACAGGAACAGAGACCTCCCCCCCAGACATCTATGTGCTGTGTGTGTGCAGTGGAGACACCCAGAAACATACTAAACACTGAGACCCACAAACCCAGCCTAAGTCCTCCCCTGTGGCCACCTCGGCACGCTCCAACACCCTGGACCAGCCGGCTCAGCTCCATGCTGGGGCACTTAACAGAAGAGACACGGAGCAAAACAAGTCTTTTTAACACTCTGGCTGTGCCCCGCAAAATACAAAAATCAAATGCGAGTCAGCGGATTCAAGAATCTCACCACAGTACTCCCAACTTTAAAAGGTGAGGGGGAGTCTTAAGGGGCAGAGGGAGTCGGGACAGCCAGGCTCATCGTTTCAAAGCACAGCACTGACGCACCGACCCGACCCGAGGACTTCACAAGCTCGTCTTTCTCTTGGTTGTGGGGGCAATCCCTGGTGTCTGGTTAGTGTCATCATTTTCCAGCCCAACAAGCTGATAACGTGCAAAGGACAACATGGAGGCGTTTTAGCAACTGTGGTTCCAAGTGGGTCTGCCATGCCTTCAAGGGGAGCAGCTGTGATTCACCCGAGTGTCTCCCTCTGGTGGGCCCTCCATCTCCCCCCAGATGCACTCCACAAAGAACAAAGAAAAAGACTGCTGCCTCCCTGCTCTCCCGGCTGCATCGTTCTCTGCAACACCACTCTTACAGGTCAGACATAAAAACGACTTGACCCCAAAAGAGGAAGTCAGGAGAGAGGAAAAGAACAGAACTACAAGGGGGGGAGGAGGAGGATTAAAAAAAAAAAAAAGTACAAAAATCAAAGGAAATGAGGTTAAACAGCAAACTGAAATCCAAATTAGTTGTGAAAGTGAATGAAGGAAACTTGAAGAGAAGTGTTAACATTATGAACTGTGCATCGTATAGACTGAAGCGGAGATTAAACAAACTCCAAAAGCATGCATATCGCTCACTTACCACCATGTTTTAAGGGTATGATGCAATTGAAGGGGGAAAAAAAAGAAGTCATAGTAACCGACAAATATCAACATACCCCAAACCCTCAGGCCGGACAGCCAGCTTACACTGGGACTTGCTCGCTCTCCCCTCAGTGCTACTCAGCCACTGGCTAGATGAGAGGAAGACGGGGTGGGGATGGAAACAAGATGCTCTGGGACCCGGCTTCTGAGAGGACCGTTCCTAGGTGTGTGCATGGGGAGGTGGGGGTGGGCGGGGTTCCTCATTGGATTATTGCTATGAATGCTGGCTCTACAGAAATGGCTTTTACCTTCACACCTCACCACAGAGGGTGGCATTGTGTGGTTGCTAAATCTACTTAGGCTTCGCCTTAAACTCCAGGGAGATTAGTGGTTACTTCCAATTTCCTTCCGTTTGGGGGGCTACTGTATTTCTCCATCTGGCATCTTGTTGCTGACCCCTAGTTAACACACTGAGTGTGTTGGGATGGCATTTTACAAAGGAGCATTTCCTTTCCACCACCTGTGGCTTGCTGTGAAGCTATCATTGTTTGGACCATCTCATAGTCTGGAACATTCAAAGAGCTCCTAACTCTCAAAGTGTCTGGAAGAGCTTGACCACGTCAGGGCCACTTAAAATAGCCTAATGAAAACCTCATGGTGTGGCTCTGCGGGTTAATGCACTGGACTGCAAAGTCGGTTCGAACCGCAAGGTTCAAGCTCACCACCTGCTATTTGGAAACTCTATACAGGGGTCACTATGGGTTGGATCCGACTCGATGGCATTTAATAACAACAACAAAAACCTCAGGTATCTTCTCCACCAGTAACTGAAAGTGAGGTAATCAACATTATCCCCAGTTGTGAAAGTGGAACTTCTTGATGCCACCGCTATTGTCTAAGTTGGTGTCTGTGAGGTCCCTAAAATGCCCCTGCAGGAATGAAGGCAACTAGCAGGTTCACTCCTACCTCCCCAGGGACTCAAATCCCCCTGTGGGCTTTAGTTCCTGCTGAGTTCACTGAGCAGCATAGGTGGGGGGGCGGGGGTAGGGCGTGTCAGGTGGATGGCAGGCCAGAGGGACGGTGGCTTGGCCTAGCCCTCTTAGAAAAGATCAACATGTTCATAGAATACAGTCAAATGGTGAGCAAAGTGGAAAAAGCAAGCCTTCTTTGGCTCCATGACTCATCTACTCTTGGAAACACTGAAGGTCAAAGGTGAAATATGGAAAGCCCACTCACAAGACAGCTGAGTGGAAACGGATCCTCAAAGAGACCACAGGAGGGCCAAAGAACAAGATGTGAAGATCAGGTATAAAATGGCTCGAGTATACGCCAGTAGATAAAAAGACAGGGGCCTTTTGTGCTTAGTGCAAATACACCTTAAAACACTATTTGGTTTTTGTGGGACATGTAAATGCCATCCCTTTACTGGGGAAGCATAAAACCCACACTCAGACTACACTCTGTACATGGAAGTTTATGGGCTTTCAGGTGTTTGTCTTGTTTGCTTCACGATTTTCCATCATGGGGCTGAGCCACCAAGAACGCTCAGACTGCCCCAAGTATAAATGCTATGAGTTCATAGAAGAAAAATGTTCCATGAGCCTGAAATAAACTCTAGGTATATCTTGATAACATGTACTTCTTTGGCAGAGGAAAAGCATGTCAGGCTTATTTTAAACAAAGAAGAAAAAATGTTCCCGTAGCATAACGGCATGAATAAAAAGTCAACACAGCCATCGAAGAGGTACTGAAAGGTGAAAACTCATCACCAGCTCTTCAGCTCCCTATTTGTGTGTGCTGTACTGTCTTCTTCATTCATTCCACACAGGGCTGGGTGCCCAGAGCGCCACGTCCGTCTGGGGAGGGGCATGGGAAAGGAAGCCTCAAGGGGTGAGTTTGCCGTGGCTATAAACTGCAGAGGTGTCGAGGGGAAACTGGTTTAAGGAGGAAAAGTCCCAGCAGAAGGCCAACTCACTGAAGACCAGTAGGCCTTTCTGGGATGGGGGCAGGAGCTGGGAGGAGTTTGGGAGATAGAAGTTGAGAGCCAAAGGAGAAATTAGGGGATGGAAATGCTGCCACCCAGGCAGGCAGGTCTGATGGGACCGGCGCCACCTGGCTATTAGGAAGGGAAGTGCACTGCAATCCTGCCAGCGTCCCCTCTTGTTTACTCAAGTCAACAGTTAATAAAAAAGTAAGTAAAAGTTGCTTGCATTACAGTATGCCAAGAGACTAGAGCAAGGAGTTTTTATTTTGCACTTACCCTGTAGGTATCTCACACAGGACTCGTTCACTATCTAGGATAATAATTCTTCTTAAAAGAGCTTTTCCCTCCAAGAAGCTGTTTTCAAGATTTCCCAGCCACTGATGTCTCCTAACCAAGGAGCCCTTAGGAAAAAACCAGGTATCTGCTTTCCTGGGCAGGTGCCTACACTTGTCAACTGCAGACAATACTGACCACTCCTCAAACCAGAAGCCCTCTACATATACAAGGGTACAGCCTCCTGGTAAGCTAAGTGGCTTCCTCTGAGGAAGACTGGAGTCTCTGGTGGGGACACGGTAAGCTCATGTGTCACTCTGCCACAGGAATGGTGGCCAATGTCATCCCCAAATCAAAGGCAGTGTTGAAGTCCATCTTTGCCTACTCATACCTGACATTTAGTTTCTCCTCCTTTCCAAAGGGCAGGCTGAGAAACGATATTTTAAAAACCAAAAGCACTCTCAAAGGATTTAAAGGCCCTTTGGGGGTAAGAGTCATAACTGTTCCAAAAGAGCCAAAGCTGAAAACACACAGGAGATATGTAACTGTTTCCTCTCTGGTCTAAACAGACGTGCAATTCGCCTTAGCAGGAAGGAGAAAAAAGTCTTAAGGGTGGACACAGAGAAGCAGTTCTGTGGACCTAGAAGGAAAGGAGAAAGCCTGGGGCCACTCCTGGGTTGCAGAACTATCCCACTCCTCACGAGCAGGCCCATCTGCTTCCCCACCTCGCTCACTGCTGGGAAGGGAGCCCAGCAGGTCTTCCATCCCACATGCAGCACCTATCTGTAGTACTCACTGCTTACGGCTGGCCCAAAGATTCAGGAGTTGCTAAGGGGAAAGGGAAAGAAGGGAATAGGCATTGCCCACAAACATGTCCTCTCACACGTTCGTCAGGCCACTGGCATACCTGTGGACAACACTCCTTCTGAGGGAGAACCAGGCCTCACCATTCTCTACTCAGGTACAAGGGAGGGCAGGTGAGAGGTTCAGACAACTCTGTGCTGGCTGAGCGCCACAGCGCGCACAAGCGCAAGGCCCAGGCAGTCAGACTACAGCTAGCAACCCCATCAGCACCCAGAGTCGGCGTCCACTGAGCTTGGGGCAGCACACCATAAAGCATACCTTTCCCTGGCCAGGGAAGTGGTAATGGCGGCTGGGTGTCTGATGGTGTGTGTATGCTGGGGGGTCAGGAGAGCGTGGTTCTGATAGAGGTCTCCAAAAGTAGCTCCCAGCTGGTTCTAAGTCAGAGGGTTTGAAATGGAATATTCCTGACACATAACCTCAAACTAAAAACTACAGTTTTTTTCCTAGGATTTTTCTGATTCCGGGTATATGCAATCATGTAAGACTTAAGTTCTTCAGACCCTTGTCAGCTTGGAGCGCTGTCTTGGGGCCTGGACTCCCCGCGTTAACCCTAGCCATCTGTCTTAAACTGGGTGGGTATGGCAACTGCTGTCCACCACTCTTGTCTGGAAGGCAGACAGAAAAGCTAAGAAAGAGCTTTGAACACCTACACATGAGACTAACAAGGGAAATCACAAGCTGACTTGTTTTACTGCGTTTTGGACGACAGTCTGACTGGGCAGGTCATTACTAGGGGGCTACACCAGGCAACCAACTAGATACTGGAAGTCTGCCTGAAAGGCCCGGTGGTCTTCTACCTTGGGGTGGCTTCTAGGCTTGACCTGCCTTCTCCTGTCTGTTGAGATGAATAAGAGTGGCAGCTGCTGTTGTCCACATGGGGCCTGAAAGGCAGATGGACTGGAGTTTGGAGAAGACTCAAACAGAGGGATCAAGCCAATGAATAGTTCCAGGTAGCCAGCTAATACAAAAATATCTTGGGAGTGGGGAGGTAAGGAAGCTGTCTAAGAATCTTCCTTTTCTCCTTTTTTGGATTAAATCCCAACATTGCTACAGTCCTCTTTGAGTGCCTGCAAACCACCCCAAGGAACAAAGCCCAACATTACAGCTGTTTTGAGGGACGTTCTTACCGTCAGGAACCTCATCTGGCCTCTTCCTCTTCTCGTACACGACAATGATCACCACAAGAATGATGATTTCAGCCAGAATTCCCAAGAAAGGCCAGAGGGGGGCCAGGTGGCTCCGTACCCTGAGGACTGTGATAACAGATTTGGTGCCGATGGAGTTGGTAGCGTTACATTGATATTCACCAGGGTCTTCTGTGATCTGGAGGTTCACAATGCTCAGCTCAGTGTAGTTTTCCTTATTGATGATGAAGAAGCGGCCAGAGGTATTGCTAATGTCCTGCTCAGGAGCAGAAAAACAACACACAATGGTCAGACTAGGTGTCTGAGCAGTGGTCACGAGAGGGCGGTGGTGTTGGGCACCCTGAGCAGGGCCTCCCTGGGATGAGGAAGCGCAGTCTGGTACTGATCCAGCCAGACCATCTTTGTCCAAGGAACCCAGAGCATTTCAGTAACAACTTCCCTTCAGTAGCATCATCACCAACAAGCCTCTGACACACCAAGGCAAACACCTCCCCTGACACTGGCCCTCTGGACTTCTCCAACCTAGCAAGTTCTGCTGCAAACACCATGAAGGAGACCCTAGCAGGAACAGGACCAGGGAGAGGGGCCCTCTGGGGTCAGGTGGGTCTGGTAACCTTGGGCCTGTCTGCACATTTCCTTCAGGCTAGGTGAGTGCTGAGGAGTGTGGTCATGCTGTAGGGTAAGTAAGTACTGGGCAGCTAACCACAAGGTCAGCACTTTGTCCACCAGCCGTTCCATGGGAGAAAAATGAGGCTTTCTGCTCCTGCCTCAGAAACACTATAGAAGGTCACTATGAGTCGGAACCAACTTGGTGGCACCTAACAACAATAACTGGTATGGCGTTGTGGGTTAATGCGCCAGACTGCAAATCTGTTTGAACTGCAAGGTCAGCAGTTCAAGCTCACCAGAAGCTCCTCGGAAATCCTATGTATGGCCGCTGTGGGTCGGAACTGACTCAACGGCACTTAACAACAATAACAAGTGAGTTCTGGGATGTTTCCTTAAACTTCCTCCAGATGCACTGCTAAAAACTTCTTCCTAGTCAGAGCACAGAAAATCTGAAACAGCCTTTTCTCCCTTTTAGGGAACAGCAGTTAAAACTTACTCATTCCATCAACTAATATTAATTAATATATGTTTTATATCCTTCTAAGGAGTTCTCTGCTGTTCATAAGGTTTTCAGTGACTAAATATTAGAAAGTAGTTCATCACTCCTTCTTCCTAGTCTGTCTTCATCTGGAAGCTCATCTGAAATCTGTCCTCCATGGGTGACCCTGCTGGTATTTAAAATACCAGTGGCATAGCTTTCAGAATCACAGCAACTCACAAGCCACCATAGTACGACAGACAAACAGACAGACGAGTGGTGGTCAATGAAGAAAAGATGGAAGTTGTCAAGGACTTCATTCCTCTTGGATCAACTATCAACACTCATGGAAGCAGCAGTCAAGAGATCAGACGACGTATTGCATTAGGCAAATCTGCTGCACAAGACCTTTTAAAAGTGTTGAAGAGCAGAAATGTCAACTTGAGGAATAAGGTGCGCATGATCCAAGCCATGGTACTTTCAATAACCTCATATGCATGTGAAAGCTGGACAGTGAATAAGGAAGACCATAGAAGAATTGATGCTTTTGAGTTATGGTGTTGGAGGAGAATATTGAAAGTGCCATGGGCTGCCAAAAGAACCAACAGATCTGTGTTGGATGAAGTGCAGCCAGAGTGCTCCTTGGAGGCCAAGATGGCCAAACTTTGTCTCTCATACTTCGGACATATTTTCAGGAGGGACCAGTTGCTGGAGAAGGATATCATGTTTGGTAATGTGGAGGGTCAGAGAAAAAGAGGAAGACCCCCAAAGAGATGGAATGGCCAAGTGGCAGCATCAATGGGCTCAAGCATGGCAACAGCAGTGAGGTTGGCCCAGGATCGGGCAGTGTTTCATTCTGCTGTGCATAAGGTCGCTATGGGTCGGTACCGACTCCATGACAACAACAACAAGGAGTTTTGGTGTGGCACTGTAGGATAAACTGTATGATGAACCTTAAGGTTGGTGGTTCAAACACACCAGCTGCTCCTTGGAAACACTATACAGAGCCGCTATGAGTCAGAACAATAACAAGGGAAAGGAGCAAAAGGCAGCCAAGCCCACCACCGGGATCATATGGACAAGGCCGGAGAGCTGAGGGGCTTAGTCAGGAGCACTCTGGTGAAGAGCTAATGTGAACCAGATGAAGGAGGGGGAGGAGCTTCCACACAGGGCGAAAGACGAAGGCACAAAGGAGTGACAGAGTCCACAGCCAGGGCTCGGGAAGCTGGGACAGGCTTGTGGCACTAATCTCCTGGGATACAGGCAGAGAAAAAAACTGACTCCAGTGTCATCCCCCTTCAACAACTAAAGCACAGGCAGAAACAAAAGAAGAAGGGGAAGAGAACCCCTAAACAATGTCTTGCTGTAGCATACAATTGTTGGCCAACACTTGAGTGCAGGTAAACACAGCCCCACCTGTCTGTCAAACCAGGTTTGTATGTTTGCCCAACAGGTTTCAGTGGAGCTTCTTCTTCAGCTAAGAAAGACTAGGAAGAAAGATCTAGTTTTTCTTTACCTGTGGTTTTTATTCACAACTAGGGTGATCAGTATCATCAAGCCTTCAAAAGGTAGCTTCTGAACACTGTCACATAAAAGACTTCCCTGCATCAGTCAATGCAATCAGTCACAGGGCAAGGGACTCATCCTTTTGCCTTGGACTAGGTGACTGAGAACAGCATCAAAAGCACGCTGTCTTCTAAAGAGATGCTGAAAACGATGCTGTTGTTAAGTGCTACTGAGTCTGTTGAGACTCATAGCGACTGTACAGGGTTTCCAAGGAGCGGCTGGTGAGCATGAACCAATTTTGCAGTTCAAAGCAACCCTTGCAATCCAGTGCATTAACCCACAGCGCCTCACCAGGACAATGAGGGGGCAGATATTCTTCCCAGAGTATATTCTGAAAGGGCACCCCGCCGGCTACCGTCCCACCCACCTCCCAGTGGGTGAAAGAGAGGGTAGGGATGAAGGTGTAGGAAAGAAGTTATATTACATCCTGACACCCTGCAGCCAAGAGAAACAAACACCGAAAGAACTGCCCAAAAACTGGGGACAGGGCAGGTGGGGGAGGTGGGCAAGAAGAAAGGGAGATCAGTATCTATCTTTCCAGTAGGGAGCTGAAGGAAACTTGAGGAAAATGGAATGAAAAGATAATACAATTTTTCCACAAAGTTTTCAAGCCCCATGTTGATATGTCTGGTGTGTGCCTCTCTCTCTCTCTTTCTTTCTCAGGAAAGGGTTATTTGGAGTTATAAAGGAAGATCAGTTGATCCTTCTACCATGTAGACAGTCATGATGCTCAAATTCGCTCCACTTCAGAAAGCTGCCCTGTGGATTTGAGGAGACTGCAGTGGGAAGCTCAGGAAAATATCCCAAGATCCAGCATTTGAATGTCTGCCGTTCAGAGGCTATCAGAGGCTAGCTGAGTGGGGTAACAACCAAAAGTGGACAAGAGAAGACGAGTAAGTGACACCTGCCCCTCTCTCTATGTCCGCCTCATAGTCAAACCAAAACAGGGACCCAGACCAAACGCAACAGCTCCCTGCAGCTCCCCAGGCTATGGGAGTTTGGAATTGGTCTGGAATATGGAGCTTTTTAAGTTGGTGCAAAAATACAAACAACAGAACACTTGCTAATTGAACATACAACTGGTGTGCAATTCAGTGGAAACCGTTCTGACAATCACGGTGTGCAGTCACCACCAAAACCCACTGTCAAGTCTTCCATCAGCATAAATAGGAACTCGATGCTTCTTAAACAATGGACTAAACTTTTTAACAACAAAGAGTTTCCAGAAAGCTATGGGGTGTATCCAGAAAAGCAAGTTAGAGCACAGTTGACATTAAATATTTGGAAAAAATTAAAAGCATTTTTGCCTCAGCACTCAACTGAGTTTCAGGCTGCTCAACAAATTGGTTTTCAAAGGTACTTGGTCTAAGAATACCTTTTCTTTTCCCTACCTCTCTTTCCTCAAAAACTATCTTTCTGTCAAGTGACATATTCACTCAAAAGTAAGAGCAAGTAACAAAGCTAAATTTTGAATGTTTCTCAAAACACAACAGGTAATGAAAGAGTCTGTGAGCATAGAAGAATAAAAAGGATAAAATTGCCTACTTCTGAGCACCAACCTACTCTGGCCAAAGTTCAAGGGCCCTCCACCCCAGAGGCCGCTATGGAGAAAGGGCATTTCCTCTCCAGCGCCTTAGAAGACTAAATGTCCTGTTGATCTTTGAGGACCTGCCCTGAAAACACTCAATCAGCATCTTCAGCTCTTAATGGCTTTCACCCCTATTAACAGGTTTCTAAAAGCTAGCCATCATTGTTAATACTGGCATAACAACACCTTGACAGTTTATTACTGAGATGTTATAATGTGCAAAGAACAATGGACCTGGAATCAAAAAACTGGATTTGACCCTTGGTTTTGCCACCCATTTGCTGTGGTTAACATGCAACCTTTCTTTTCTCCATTGAAGAATAGTTAAATTCGGTATCTCTAAGGATCATTACCTTGCGGTTCTGAGACTCACAGTGAACAAGGATGTCTGAAGTTTTCTGCTAGGCATACTAGGCTTGGGGATAGGAGGAAGACTTGTCAATACAATAACATCTCTGATGGGAAAGGAACTGGTCAGATATCAGTAAACCAAAGAGGAAGTGTGAGAGACTAAAGGTTTTCTAAACAAATCAGAAGAATTACCTCACACGAGGGAGACGCACATTGTCTTTGATCTTTCTGAAGCAGATAATGTCAGATACCCAATGTTTAAAGTGGCCTTTGGACCTCATCAGGTGACCCAATTCCTAATCAGTTCTCCGTGTTCCAGGAATATGGAATACATACTAATAATTGCCCTCAGTGCCCTATCCATAAAACAAGGAGGCACATTACTCTCTTCTTCAGGATAAGCCAACTAGAATAGTAGTAAAAGTTTACGCTCATTCGGTGTCTTGAAGGCAAGAAATCTAGTCCCTAAGCAGACAGACAATCATGAAGAGGGGATACCTGCTGAATGGAGACTGTCGGTGGCCTCCAGATTCATGAATAAACTATCATGACCCTGGAGAGGGTAACTGAAGCCACGCACACATCCAAGGGTATGGCTGTTACAACAGCTGGTCCAGTTGTCTCCACCTCCCCAGAAGAAATTTCAGCAACCACACTGACCAGACACCAAGAACCAGGACTGCCCCCTACTCACCAATAAAACACCGTTCCCCTTCTTTTGCCATACCCACTCTGGGTGCGGGTAACCAACTGACTTGCAGTACATCATGGCGTCTTGCCCTTCATTCTTGTTCTCGCTCCGCTTATGACCAGTGATGTCAGGAGGGGCTGTGAGAAAGAGTGGGGAATGGTTACCATGGAAGCTTGTCCTGAACAGGGAGACAAAGGCCCCGTCTATTGGCTCAGAATCAGTCTTTAGGTTCACTTTTATCTTCAGCTTTGAGAAAGAGCATTTCAGGACAGAATAGGAAAATGGGACCAACCCCATCTACTACCCCTTTTCCCTTACCCCAAACTAGCAGCCCAAGAAGACACCAGGGTTACAATACATGAGGGTCTGATATAGGTGTTTTCCACTCTGCTAGGAAAATGTACAGCAGGCCCAAATGCCCTAAAATAATAAGGCTTCTTTAATTAAAGAAAAGGTGTACAGAAAACTATTATCTCCTCCCCCAGTGAAGCTGGTTTGTTTTTTCTTAAAACACCTGCACTAACAATGACTATGATCATGCCTACTGTCAGATGCTACCTTAAGGAAATGAGGGATCCTGAATCGTACACCTAAAATCGAGTCTTATTGCAAGGTAGGTAAAAAACAACAAATGAGAAGCTACTTGATGCGTCTTTGTTATGAATATTCCTCAATTGATTACAAAGGCTCTCCCAAGAAAGAGAAAATCCAGCAATGTGGTCTTCACAAGGCAAAAGAATGAACAGGGAATTCAAACAGTTTCCCAAGGGATTAGATTAACAGCTGAAGGATTTGCCTCACAAACCTGATTAGCAACCATCTCAATAAACTACATCTTAGAGCAATGCCTAGACCTGCTGGAGGATGCTCGTCTTCTCTGCTTTTAGGGGTCACCTACAAAGACATCAACAGCACCTGAGGTCGAAAGTCCCTTGCAACACTCCAGGAAGACTGAAATAGGGACAAATTCTTTGAATTTAGTCTTCTTTTATCTTAACTGTATTTTCTACCAATGCCTCACCAGTTACAACAGCCTGAAAGCAATAAAACTCAAGGAAGGTTAGATGTATGGCACTGTGCTTGGTCCAAATTCCAGTTTTGCTGGCTCTTTCATTATTTTGTGCTTCAGTTCTACTCCCACTATAAAATGGAGATAATCCTTGTCCCTGTTGACCTCCCAGAGTCTTGAACAGATGAATAAAGATGTCAAGACATTCATTTTGTGACTATCAAAACTTGTACAATTACATGTATCATGGGCTGATTCCATCTGCCCCTGTTTGACTGACTTGGTGTTCATTCCATGGCTTAAAAATAATCCAAGGTCCTGGTAGAATGGACAACACCTCAAACAAAAACTCAGTCCATGCCGCTGAGTTTAGTCTGACTCATAGCAACCCTGTTCAGGGTTTGCAAAGCTGTAACTCAAACTGTCTACAACCAGTCACTGCCACACTGAGGTCTGCTTGGCACCACTCAGTGGGAGGTGTTTCCTAGACAGGAAATCGCCTCTGTGTATTTTTCCCAGGTAAAACACTTTACTCCATAAGAAGGGAGTGGGTCAGACTGGCTTCACTTTGATACACCCAAGCCAAATGTTTTCCAGTCACTCAGTTCACTTCTTAGACCTAATGTCTGGCTGGTCAACCTTTCCTCAGAGCTTTCTGCAGGCAATCCATTATCAGTGACCATCTGAGTATCTCAAAAGGACAAGCTTTGTGACCACACACTAACTTCAACAGCACCTTGGATGAGCAAGGGCACGCAGCGAGCAACAAAGCCATTACATGTCGCCTCTTGCTGTGTTTCATTCATTTGACAAGTATGTGGTAAGCACCCACTACATGCCAAATACATCAGAGAGCAGTTGGAAGGGTGATGGTGATTTGGACCCTAGTAGTAGCAGTAGTTGTCAGGAGGGCCCAGTCTCTGGAAAAGGAGATCATGTCTGGTAAGGTGGAGGGTCAGAGAAAAAGGAGGAGACCCCCAACAAGAAGGGTTGGCCAAGTGGCAGCATCGATGGACTCAAGCATGACAACAATAGTGAAGTTGGCCCAGGGTCGGGTAGTGTTTCATTCTGCTGTGCATAAGGTAGTTATGAGTCAGTACCGACTCGATGGCACCTAACAACAACAAAGTAGCAGCAGAGAAGGTGATAAAGCAAGGAGATTTTGGATACATTCCGAAGGCTGAGTTGATGTATTTGCCAATGGATTGGAAATGAGATGTGAGAGAAAAAAAGGTGCAAGAACAATCCAAGGTTTTTGGCCTCGGTAACTTCGGAAGTGAAGTCACCAATGACAACAAGGAGAAGGGGTAGTTTGTTGCTTTGGTTTTGTTTGTGGTTGGGGTAGTGGTGATGGTCAAAACCAGGAGTTCGGTTTAGAACATGTTAAGCTTGAAACAGTTAACGTAACATCCAAGTGAAGCTGACCAGTGGGTAGACCAAGGTGAATAGATACATTTAGAAGTCATCAGCTTACATGTGGTATTTTTTCCATTGTCAAGCTCTTCTGCCCCAAAGAGAACATTCATTCTGACCCAGTTACTGGACCAGTTCCAGTAGTTGTACGAATTTAAAACTGTCACCTTCTACTTTAGGGACTCATCCCATGATTAAACATTGTTGTTACTGTGAAGTGCCGTTGAGTTGATTCTGACTCATAGCGACCCTGTATAGGGTTTCCAAGGAGCAAGTGGTGGGTTTGAACTGCTGACCTTGTGGTTCCAAGTCCAGTGCTGATACTACAGTGCCACACCAGAACTCCAAGATTAAACATTAGAACCACCTAATAGGCTAAAAGTTGAGTTAGCACACAGCTCCACAAACCCTAGTTCACTGTTCTGAAAGGACCTAGACTTTAAGCCAGGGGTGAGGGTGGTTTCCTCCCTTGAAGTTTAGGAGAACAGTACTTACTTACCCTTTTCGTTCATCGATTTTTGGTATTACATGTCCATGCCACTGTTCAGTCTGACTCATAGCAACTCTGTACAGGGTTTGCAAAGCTGTAACTCTTTTCAGGAGCCAAAAGCCTCATTTTTCTCCCATGGAGAACTGCCAACCTTCTGGTGAGCAGTTCGGTGCTCCCTACAATGCCACCAGGGCTCCACTTTGGTATTTTATGTGGCTGTTAAGTGCCAATGAGGCGGTTCCCACTCACAGCGACCCTGTACAGGGTTTCCAAGGCTATAAATCTTTGCAGAGGCAGAAAGCCTCATCTTGCTCCCAGGGACCAGCTGGTGGGCTCAAACTGCCGATCTTATGGTTTGAAGTCCAGTGCTTATCCTGCAGAGCCAGTACACTCTGGAATCCTATAGAGGCTTCTATTTATAGATGAGAACATGGCCTCTGAGACACATACAGGAGTCTAGCTAACCCCACTTCACTTTGTTGGCCATGTTTACAGTGTGAGCTTACAAGAATGGGTTTTCAATGGTTAGGTCTATCTCCCACTATATCCTCCTTATCTTAGCAGAGAATACCCAATGAAACCTAGGAATCCCCCCTCAACCTGATGGACTGAAAAGAGTAAAGCCTGACCATGCTACCACTCACTCGCCTGGCAGCTGGCCGTACTGTGGTGTTGTGCATTGCTGTGATGCTGGAAGCTATGCCATCAGTATTCTAAATACCAGCAGGGTCAGCCATGGTGGACAGGTGTCAGCAGAACTTCCAGAAGAAGACAGACAAGAAGGTCAGACAGACTCCTTCTGAACGTTTACTCACTGAAAACCTTATGAATAGCAGCACAACATTGTTGCTAGAAGATTAAAAACATAAACAGGATCAGAACAGTGTCAGATAGAGTGCCGGAAGATGAGCCCCTCGGGTTGGAAAAGCACTCAAACTACAACTAAGGAAGAGCTGCCTCCTCAAAGTAGAGTTGACCTTATGACACAGGATGGAATAAGCTTCAGGGACCCTCATCTGCTGATAGAGCACAACTCAAAATGAGGAGAAACAGCTGTAAACATCCATTAATGATCAGAACATATCATTAATGTGCAAAGTGTGAATCAAGGAAGGAAAATTGGAACTTGTCAAAAAATGAAATGAAATGCATAAAAATCAGAATCCTAGGCACAAGTAAGCTGAAATTGACTGGTATTGGATCATTTTAAATTTGAAAATCATATGTTAACTATACTAGGAATGACAAATTCAAAAGGAATGATATCATGCTCAAAATAAAAAAGAACATTTCAAGACAAAGCTGTCTGTGATAGGATAATACCCATATGCCTACAAGGAAGACCAGTCAATACCACTATTATTCAAATTTACACACCAACACCAAAACCTAGTGATGATGAAATTGAAGAATTCTACTAACTTCTCCAGTGAGAAATTGATCAAACATGCAATCAAAATTTATTGATAATTACTTTTGGATTGGAATTGGATAATTACTTTTGGTGATTGGAATGCAAAGGCTAGACATAGTAAAAGGATCAGTAGTTGGAAATTATGGCCATGGGGATAGAAATCATACTAGAGATTGCAAGATAGAATTTCATAAGACCAATGACTACTTCTTCATTGCAAATACCTTTTTTAAACAACATAAAAGACTACTATACATGTGGACCTCACCAGATGAAATACACAGAAATCAAACTGACTACATATGTAAAAAGAGACAGAGGAAAAGCTCCATATCATCAGCCTAAACAAGTCAGTGGAAGAAGACTATAGAACTATATGCAAGTTCAGGCTGAAGCTGAAGAAAATTAAAACAAGTCCATGAAAGCCAAAACATGATCTTGAACATATCCCACCTATATTTAGACACCATCTCAAGAACAAATTTGATGCATTAGACACTAATGACTGAAGACCAGAAGAGCTGTGGGATGACATCAAGAACAGGTAGAAAGCAAAAGGTCATTAAGAAGACAAGAAAGAATGAAAAGACCAAAATGGATGTCAGAGAGACTCTGAAACTAGCTCTCCAATATAGGGGTGCTACAACAAATGGAAGAAATGAGAAGGTAAAAGAGTTGAACAGAAAATTTCAAAGGAAAGCTCAAAAAGACAAAGTCAAATATTATATTGAAATGTGCAATGACTTAGGGTTAGAAAACCAAAAGGGAAGAACATGCTCAGCATTTCTGAAGCGGAAAGAACTGAAGGAAA